AATGTTTAGATAATGATGCTAACAATAATTCTAATATTTAATTTTAAGAACTCATTCACATTTATTTGAGGTGATTATTTGAAAAAAAGTTACTGACAGATATGAGATGGATATATCTTGAAGATGTAATCTTTTATGAAGATCCATGAGCTTATTTTTGTTCAATAAATGATCTTCAAAGAAAGCATTCACATTTGAGATGAAAAATGACCATATTTCTTTTACCATTCGAAAAATCAATTCATTGTTACCCCTTTGAACCTATTATGATTTTTTTTTTAAAGAACCTTGATCAAGATCACCTTTACATTTAGGGTATTTTTTTGAAAAAAAGAAGGCAAAAAAAAAAATCGTAAAAGGTATCAAAGATAGAAAGAAAAGCAAAACAAAGAAAAAGATAAAAAAAAATGAATGTCACACATGATTTAGGGCAAAATAAGGAGAATCTTTTTGTGAAGAATGAGATCGATGAAAAAAATAGTGAAATAATGTAGAATGGGGCAAAATGCCAAGTTGCATCAAATAATAAATGATCATTTGGTTCTGAAACCTTTAAACACATGTTTTGAGCCTATTTTACCTTTTTTTTTATGATCCCTTACCATGACCTACATTACAACCTTGAAAAGTCTATTTGGATAAAATGTGAATGCTCGAATTGAATGATCATATGTTGGGTGAAGGCATGCTTATGATAGAATAATGGAATCACGCTATATTGCTCTAAAAATTAATGTGTGAAAGATATCAACAATAGATGAAAAAAGATGAAAAAGTGAAAGAGAAAAAAAATGGATGAAAAAAAAAAGAGAAAAATAAAAAAATAAGGAAAAAAAAACTTAAATTGAAAACCCAAAAGGACGATTTAGGTAGACAAATCTCTGAGCTGAAAATTAGATGAAAAATTTAAATATATGAAAGATCAAGCCATCTAAAGATCCTAAAAAATTAGGTAAAATTTGATGAGCTCAAAATGATTTCGACAATCAATGGAATGAGTTTACAAAAAAAAAATCTTGAATTAATGTTCAAAATTTTCTAAACATTCATTTGTCCTAATGACATACATCCAACTTGTTTCTTTTCCCCATTTGCTTTTGTACCAAAACTCACTCTTCATTGATTGCTTTTCTTTTAATGCACCTTGTGCTATTTTATTCTCACATCGCTAGAATGAATTGAGGAAATGTATGATTGCATTATGTTTGTTAAGAATTGAAATGATAATAAATGAATGAATATGTGCTTAAAAGGTTCTTGCATTCCTTTGAAAAAAATCTAAAATGATAAAGGAAAAATAAAAAGATCGTACAAATCTAAAAAAGATGATTTAAAATAACACATGGTGTGATCAAATGATGAATATGATGATGAATTGATTAAAAAAATGAAAAAAAGGTAAATTTTAAAAAAATGGTATGTCCAAGTGATGAATATGAGGATGAATTGATCGACACAATCTATGAGTTGTGATGAAAAAATATGGGGCAATGGATGAAACTAGTGCTGAAAAGCCCATGAACAATAATCAAGTGATGAAGGATGAAATTTGTACTAAAAAGCTTATAAGCGATGATCATATGATAGAAGAAAAAATTTATTCTGAGATAGCTAGTGCTACAAAGCTCAAAATGATAGAGTCTTGAGAGCCATATTACCATAGTTATTCAGGATTTCATGACATTATTGACGTTCGCATTACATGCATCGTGTAAGCATCATTGAATTTCATTGTACATACACATAATTTGATGAATTAAAACTTTGTTTGGACATGCATTACATTATGAGAATCTAGGTTGTTGCATTTGCATCTTTGATCATGATATTCATTACATGTAAAATTTTGAATCTTTTGAAAAAGAAATTGTGAATCTTTTGATAAGAATTTTTGAATTCTCAAATGCGAATCTTTGAATTTCACATAAAAATCTTTGAATTTTGAGTCTTAAATGAAAATCTTTAAGACATTTTCAAATGAAAATTTTTTAGTTTTGAATGAGAATCTTTAAGATGTTTCCAAATGAGAATCTTTAAGACGTTTCTAAATGAAAATCTTTGAGTCTTAAATAAGAATCTTTAAGATATTTTTAAATGAAAATCTTTGAGTTTCAAATGAGAATCTTTAAGTCTTAAATAAGAATCTTTAAGACATTTTTAAATGAAAATCTTTGAGATGTAAAACCCTAAAGTTTGTCTAATTGAAATTTTTGAACTAAAATGAAAAGTTTTTGGATGTGAATCTCCAAAATTAAAGCGAAAAGCTTTGAACTCAACTTTTGGATGCGAATCTCTAAATTTTTTAGTAAGAACCTTTGCACTTAGATGTGAAATTCTAAGATTTCTTGAATATGAACTTTTGAACTCGAACAAGATGCTTTAACCTTTTAGATATGAATCTCTAAAATTTGAATGAGAAATGTTTATACGAGTCTTGCAATTTGCAAATGCAAATCTTGTAAATCTGAATTCTTGCGTACCTAAAATCTTGCAAGTTTGAATTCTTGTGAAACTGAAGTTTTGATAATCAAATTTCAGTGAATTCTTGTGAAGTTGAAAGGTTCTTGTGAATTTGAACCTTTGACTTTCAAATTCAAATTGTGAATCGTTAAGTTTTCATTACAAATTTTATCATGTCTGATCTATGACTCCTCTAGACATGATTGTCAATGAGCCTTTTATTTTTTTCAAAGTTGTGATGCTTTTATTTAGAGGAGCTTTTATTTTTTAAAGTCGTTAAAACTCTGTTTAAACAAGCTTTGTTTTAAAAAAAAATAAATAAAAGAAGTGTTGTGTTAAATCTTACTTGGGTGTCTACGTCTTTACACAATTCATGTTTCACAAAAAATGTGCAAAGAAGACCAGCTATAGACATCCTAATCGGTCCGGGCCCAAGCCCATTTAGGCTTAGTTTAATAGGATCTAGGCCTAAGCTCAGATTAATAAAGCTTGACTCAATAAGAACCAATTAGTAGGCCCAATTGACCTTTTTATTTTTATTTTTATTTTATTTTATTTTATTATTTTATTATTTTTTATCTATCTTTGATTTTTTTTAGTTGATTTATCTTTTTTTATTGGATTTATCATTAGTTTTTAATAAATTTAATAATAAAATAAATAAATAAATAAATAAATATCTTTGACCAATGGTTGTAGAGTTCCTATAGATTTTAATTTGAAGTGGAATAAATCTTGAAGTTTTCGATAATATGAAAACCCAGTCGAATAAGGACTTCTATCTGATCAGAAACTCTTTTGATCTGATCTTATAAATCACCAAACACACGAGGTAAAAAGATCACAGAGAACAAAAAAAGACATTGAGAGAAAATCAAAAGCAAAAAAAAAACAGATAGATCAGAAACACAGCAAGCAAAAAGAAAAAAAAATTTGAATTTTGTTAAAGAGAAGACATTTTTTTGGAAATTTTCTAAAAAATTTTCAAATTTCGACAAAATTTTTCAACGCTAGTTGAATTTTTTGGTAGGTTTCCCAAAATCCGACCCACATTCTAAGACTGGTTGAATTTTTCGACGATATTTTGGTGAACCAACCCAGATTGCGATAATATTTTTTAGAATCTAACGAAGATTCAATCGAAATTCATCATGTTCTAGAAAGAGAGGGAGAGAAAAAAAAAGAACGAGAAAGAAGAGGAATGAGAGATCTGAAGTAGAGGGCTAAAACTTGAGCTTTTATAACCTCCTCAAAACGACGTCATTTTGACATTTAAAAGAATCCAAGATCCGCGTGTTTTCACTTGAAGCGACCCGACCCGTAAGCGCGACCTGCTTCAACCTATTCCACAGACCTTGCTACTAAGCCAAGCCGAGCCAAGCTAATTTTTCACCGAGCCGCACCTTTGAGTTGTTTTTCGTGTCTAGAACCGAGCCGCGCTAACTCTTAAGCCGAGTCATTTTTTTTTTTTAGGTATTTTTTATTTTATTTATGTGTTTATTTTTAAGAGTTTTTTTGCATAAATAAATTTAAAAAGAATAAAATATATATAAAATAAAAATTTTAAAAAGCATTTTTGAAGAAAAATTGAAAATATCAATTTTTCTTGAAAATAAAAAAACCCTCAAAATGTTTTAAGAAAAAGTTAAAAGTATCAATTTTTTTTGTATAAAAACATGAATTTTTTTATAAAACAAACAAAAAAATATCTATATCAATAATCACTTCTTACTCATTCTGTCTTTTTTTTTGTAAAAATTTTTTTAATGTTAAATAATCCAACAATAAAGCCTCTGTAAATGAAAATAATTTTTTTGTATACTCTTAAGGCGAGAGAATTTTCTTAATTTTTTGCCAAAAATATTGAAGTCAATTAAGAATAATTTTTAATAATTAAATATTTAATAAAATTTTTAAGGCTTAATAGATAACACGAAATTAAGTTAATACCATCTTTCAATGGACGTTGTGAGGATGCTGTAATCTTTCTCACTCGTAACCGAACTCCCGAATCCTGTTTTGGTTAATAGACCTGAGCCTATTCTTTTAGGAATCCTTAGTCAAGCTTAAGTGTTCTTTGAAAAGATAAATTCTTTAGGTGGCCAATCATACCTAAATAAAAAAGATTGGTGACGACTCCTCAAATCAATGTCAACGATAGATCCCCGGATTTATATGTTATGACAACAACTTAAACTGTTCATGTACCAAGAAATAGAGACACAATCTAAAACAAATTTAATGTTTAATGTTTAACAGCTAGTAGGAGTCATGTTATGAATTTTCATAACAATGCCGGCAAGAGGATAATAAATTCACAACTTTGATGTTTACCTGTTGTTTTGATAGTTCAGAGCATTGCGTTGACCTTCTTAATTTTAATTAGTGCTAGAGGAACTCTCTTTGGCCTGCATAACAAGTTTTAGTTAACGCAATATATATATATATATATATATATATATATGTGTGTGTGTGTGTGTGTGTGTGTGTGTAAGAATACATGCTCAATACTAACTGATCTCAAATGAGTGAATGCAATTTTGAATCCTGCATGCCTGAACAAAGTTGAATTTCCCTAAGATAAATTTGGTCCAATAGAACAAGTACAAGCAAAAGGAACAGAAGATATTATACCTAAAGAAGAACAGAATGGGTAGCATAATACGAGATATGACATTGGCAAATATTCAACAAGAAAATAATCTTACTGTATCATTAGCTTGACAATTCTAGCACTCTGGACGCTAGCTATAATTTCTTTTCTATTTGAATTCAGATACAAACATCAGTATGAAGTTAAAGGAGATTTTGGGATATTCTAGTCAAAAGATTACCTTTTTTTCTGCCGGCCTGTGATACTGCCAGATATGAACTGAATCAAGATTATACATACTAGACAAAAATTACAACCTTGCTATCAACAAAGTGCTACTTGTGGCCAAGACCGGCACAATCCTTTGTAATCAACAAACTGTTAGCTAGGCCACCTTGGTGGTTAAGTACCCACAGCTTCAAAATTGAGCAAAGGGGCAATAAACACGTTAAGGAAGAGGTGAACTTCCCAATACATTGCAAAAAGTTTCTTGTGTTTTTCCACAACAATCTTGATCAGGCAGTACCTTTCCCTCAATGCACACTCTTAGACAAGCTGAGAAAGAAGAAAAAAATTGTATAGGAGGCACAAGAAAATAGAGAACTAACATAAAAAGAAGATGAAAGCACTTCAGGAGGAGCATATGTATCACCATTTCAGCCATCACCATCCAATGGTACGTACTGATTTAATTTTGGCAGGCAACATTACCTGTTCTGGGTGCAAGCTCAATATATTGCCAGCTAAAGGCTATTACCAGTGCAAAACTTGCCCTTTCTACCTTCACAAAGTGTGCTACAATATGCCTATGAAAACTCGACATCCTGGCCATCCTGACCACTTTTTAACCCTCCATGTTATGCCTTCATCAGGCAAGAAAACCTTCAAGTGTGAGGCTTGTGGACATCAAGTCAATGGATTCTACTACAACTGTGCAGAATGTTCCATTTACTACCATATCTTATGCTCAGCAGTGCCACTTTCTGTAGCAATCACTTCCCACCTTCACACACTCAAACTAGAATTTTCACCTCCTAATGACTTGCAATGTGACATATGCAAAGAATCAGCCAGCTATAATGGGTGGCTTTATAGGTGCCAAATCTGTGAGTTTGATACACATCTTGCCTGTGCCATTTCCAATCAAAGAGAACAGTCTTTTCAGCATCCAACTGCACCACTGCCACACCCTTTGACAAGACAGAGTACGTATTCTTCAGCATCCCTAATGGAAACTAAACAAAGAGAAGATTACGTTAATGAAGGCACAGAACTAATGCAATTAGTATCCCAGAGTGTCACTAGGAATATCAGAGATAACAGAACATATGAAAATTTTCTTAAAACAGTGGTTGGATGGGATGAGAGATTGCATAGCCCTAAAAGGAGACTTGCAACAAGAAATGGCCAGGATGAATACTTTGGATCGAGTCACAATCCAGATAGTGTTGGCACTTCTCCAAATCCAGAAGTAGAAGCACAAGAGACAGACCAATCAAGTCTACTTTCAGTTGACCTGAGTACAGCTCCAAGTTACCAGCTCAGTGGTAGATGTTTTTCAATAGATTTGGCAGAATCTTATTCAAGTTTGGATCATACAAATCAGGCAAGAAAGGAGCCTACACTTTCTGATGCAAGTGCTCTGCAGAAAGTTAAAGAAACAGTAAATGGTAGGAATAACATTCTACTTGAGAGAATTGCGAGCAAATTTGAACCAACCAACCAAGAAACTATTTATGCTAAGAAGGAAAGTTTTGATTTTCGTAACTCAGATAGTAGGATGAATGAGGCATTCTTAACCAGAAACAGCACTCAATCAAGGGAGCAGAGGAATAAGAAGAAAATGTCAAATGAATCCAGGAGTGAGTCTGGAGACAGAGATCAGAGTAGTAAATCTGAGAAAGTAAGTACAACCGTGCAAGTAACCAAAGAACATACTCTAGCATGATTATCTTTGTCTCATAGAAAATAGTTTTAGCAACTTCACACGTTTTTCCTCCTCCTGACATTATTTTAGTCCAGTTGTTAATTATTTCCCTCTGTATTTTAAACGGATTAAGTTTTAGCAGAACCACCGGAGTGAACAGAATTTGATAATATAATTTTGTCAAATCTAGTTAAAAATCATTCATCTCTTAGAGGGTAAAGATTAATGCATCATTATGTTGTTCCATCTTGGCAGGGAAGATCAGGATGTTCATGTTGGTGGAAGCTCTTCTAATGTTGATTTCTCCAAAAAAAAAAATAAGGTAAGTACTACAGTTTTCAGTGATGGAAGAAGTTGAAAAGCAGAAGATCGCAAATAGAGTGCAAGGTTGTTATTTTTCAATCCAGGGTAGAAAGAAATTTATTGAGGATGCTTTTTCCTTTTCTTATTTCCCCTTTTTAACACATATTGTTGTAAATTTTCAAGATGCTACCTATTCAAAGTTCTTGGCTAGCTTAATATCAAGTCCCTTCATTCGGAGGTTAGAGTTCGATTATCATTTCTTGTATACTTCGGAAGCATAGTAATTATGAACAAATGGAAGGTATATGTATTATGAGTTTTACCTCAATTCCATTGTGTATTGGGGTCACAGATTAAGACATTCCTAATTGTCATTCTCATCATTAAGAAGATTGAAGTGTCCTGACCGTAGAGTATTGAATGAAACTGAAAACTCGTAACAAAAACATTTAATTGCCATTTAGGAACTGCTTTCTGTTATTATTAAGTGTAGAATTTTTTTCATATTTTTGCTGCCTAAAATAATCCTCATTGGCTATTAATCAGTCTTTGAGATTCAATTTTATAATTAATCCTATACAATTATGAAATCTTAGCCATGAATGAAGGTGAAGTATACATATGTATTTATATATGGTCTCCACATCATTTTCACAAGAACTGTACATTATTATGTAGATAGGTGGAATTAAATAATTATAGAATTTTAAGGAAACTATTATAGATGATGGGAACCCATTCTACAAGATGAGTTCTAAAAGTCAATCTCTTTGTTACCTATTAGACTTTTATGTATTTAATATTATAAATTCAAATTTTTTATAATATTGGAAAATACTTGTTATTGTCAAAATGTAAAAAAAAAAAAAAAATCAATTTGAAATATAAAAAAAAAAAAAAGCAAACAGTATTAGGTATTAAAAATGAAAAAAAAAATTATGGGACATCTAGAAAAAAAAAGACAAAGAAAATGAGATGGAATGAGTAATTTATCATTCTTATTTGATATTTGTAGTGTCCAACTTGTAATGACATATACTTGGAATCACAGGGCTTAGAGCTCTAGAGTTTATTGGAAAAACACGACCTTACCTTCTGTCAATGATATTAGCTATCTTTGACTTGAGATGAATAGAGATAATTAGCAGAACAATGCAAAACTACGAATAGATGGCAAAGAGTTAATTCAAGAGACAGGTTTCTTGTGAAAGAGATAACTAGGAACGTACCAGTTGCTTTCTTCCCCAAATGCTCAGATACTGTGAAGTGTGAACACCAGTCCTTAGCTGTCGCCTATCTAAAGTAATTTTTTATGTATCAGATTCTCTATCGTATTCCGTTTTCAATCCAAACAAAATAAACAGTGATAATGTCAAGCTCAACTGTTGCAGGACGACTTGGCCTATAGTGGAGATTTGAGATTTTTTTAACCAGCTAACCTTGCAATCAGGGTTTGTCATAAAGCGACATCTTGTGGAAATTTGTCATAAATCGACATCTTGTGGAAAATAGCACCCTGAAGATAAATTGTTCACATACAATCTTATGAATAACTTAGTAGTTATCTAAATATTGCTTCTGAATTCTCCAGCAGATACATCATCATTTCATGGAGACAACAGGAGAAATGGGCAGGCCAGATATGGATCCAGTTATTCAACATTTCAGTCACCAACATCCCTTAAAACTGCTAAATTTTCAACCGCAAACCACCAATACATTTATATGTGCAGGTTGCAAATTAGAGGCCTCAGGATGGTTCTACTTTTGCAGTACTTGCAGCTACTGCCTTCATAAAACTTGCTCCCGTATGCCTCGAAACATACAGCATCAAGTTGACCGGAAACACACCCTTGTTCTCCTTTCATCCCCTGTTTATGCCACAGGTTCCTTCAAGTGCAATGCCTGTGGGAAACTTGGCACAGGCTTTTGCTACCATTGTAAAGACTGTCAGCTTGATATACACACTCTTTGCATCTATAAGCCTTCATCAGTCAATACTAGCACCCACCATCACACCCTGGAACTTTGTTTCAGCCCTCCATATAGTAATAAGAAATTTCAGTGTGACATCTGCAAGCAATTTGGTTCAAACCACTGGCTGTACAGATGTGGCTCCTGCAAATATGATGTTCACATGAACTGTGCCATGTCCAACCAATTTCAGCCTGCCACAGAGATCCAGCAAACAAAGCAACACATTCTGTGCCCTACTGATAGGGCCAATACTCAATTCCAATCTGTAAGAGCAATCCAAACCCAACAAACACATCAGGAGCAACTGCTGTGCCAGGCCAATGGACCGCACATTCAACTTCAACCTGTCAGAGGGGTACAACAGAGACAACAGAATCAACTACTTTGCCACAACATTATAGCCAGTACCCATCCTCAACCAGTCACAGGGATCCAACAAACACAGGAGCAAAAACCAAATCACAGCAATAGTGTCAATATTCAAATTCAACCTATCAGAGCAATTCAAGTCCAAGAAACACATCAGGAGCAACTTCTATGCCACACTGATCGAGCCAACACTTATGCTCATCATGTCACGGGCATCAAACAAATACAGCAACAGCCCCAACTGCTCGAGTCTCAAAGTTTCCCTCCCCAATTTTCCAAATTCAGGACTGACCTTCCAAATTCAGGTTCAACATTTCACCATTTTTCTCAACCAGTCATACCTATACCACATCAACAAATCTGTGCTCCATATGTTCAAACTCTAAATCCAATACCCGAAACTGGTTCATCAAATTGGAATCAACCTTACAGAGTGAATGGTTATAAAGCAAGTATGCCAACCTTAGCTGTTCACCAGCAAGTTCCACAACCTATTCATCAAACGATTGGTTATACAGCAAGTATGCCAAACTTTGCAGTAGTTCCTCTATATGTTCAGCCTCCTAACATGACAAAGCAGGGCAACAATCTCATGGGCCATGTGTTTCAAGAGTTAGTTGATGGTTTCATTCAACAAGCAGGAGGTACTATATTTGGAAGTGCAACCTCTGGCGACCTCCCATTTGATCTAGATATTGGTAATTCCTGATTGCTGAGCCAAGGATTTGGATGATAGAAATCATACAAGGCATATTACAACTATCCACTGCCTTTTCTTTCTCTCTTTTTATTTTATTTTCTTTTTTCTAGCACTATATTCAGCTTTTGTTTGCATGAAATTCATTTGTTAGATGAGACATTATGTTAGCAGTTTCTCTAGACTAGAGTGTTGATTATCTTTCATTATGACTTGTTTCAATAACTTGGCAATCTCCTCATCACTGCCATCATCATCTTTATTATTACTGTATGTTGCTGCAAATCTTATTCTGTTTCTAGTATCTTCTCAAAAATAGAGTATCTCTAATCATAACTTTGATCGTCATCATCTTTTTCTATATTGGCCAAAAAAAATCATGACCTTTTTCCATTTGATTCAGCGCTTTTGCACTCACTATCTCATGCTATGGGGATCATTCTTCCTTAAATATATAAAACTATCTTATAGAAATCAGACTACTGTTCCTAAGTTCCTTGTCAACATTTTAACAAATCAATATAATTGACTTTGTAGATCACTTAAAACTCCCCACAGTTCGACTGAAAACATAGATAGAATGTCAACCTTCAGCTACAAAATCTCATCATGATGGAACATATTCTGATATATGTGACCGCATGTGTGCTTTACAACTAAGAACGGAATGAATTTGATGACAAGCATAAGAAAGGTCATAAGACTATATGTAATCATATGAATAGATCAAAAGCAATTGAAAAGAGGGAAAAAAGTTAAAAGAAAGAATGGATCTTATAAAAGTGGCAGAAGACAAAAATTATGCAGCTCAAAACTTGAGATCAATCAACTTGCTTTAAGGTTGGATGTGATGGAAACTTCTCTTGTGCCATTGAGACTCATAAAAAGACAACTGCACTTTGTTTCTGTTGATTTTTCCTGAATGAAAATTATATAGTATATGTACAAGGTAAAATAATTATGATAAAGGAAGCTATGATTGCCCCTCGAGTTCTTCCTCAAAAGATTGAAATGCCTCATTCACCATAAAATTAAGAATTAAAACCAGACAAATTTCTGAAAATCTCACCTGGGATCTACCAGCAAACTCACATCTTCTTCCCTCTTTAACTATGATGCTGCGGCAACAATTGCTACTTTTTATGGCAGCAATGACAACAGATTTTCTTCCATGATTAAAACCAAGATTTTTTACATTCACTGTAAAGATAAATTAGATATTTTAAGATAATTTTAAAAAAAATTATGTCAAGTTTCAAACATAAGAAACCAAAATTCAGAGCAAAATGAAAGATTCATCAATGAACAAACCCATATACAAGCAAAAAAGAGCAAATTCCCATTTATGAGAAAGGCATGCAAACTGAACATTAAGGTATACATCTTAATCACATAATTGCACACCTCAAAAAAGATTGCACTCAAAAAAAGAAGTAATGAAATTATAATTTAAAAAAGAAGAAAAAAAGAACATCAGCCAAGAGGAAAAAAACATGACAACCTAAAGGAAAAAAAATGAAGGCCTATCTCTTAGTTCTTTTTATGCAAATCTTTTAGAGCTAACAGCTTTAACCAATGGTGACTGCAGCATGTACAGCGGAGGCAGCAAGTTGAATCTGAACAGAAGATATTTTAATGAACAAAAAAAATAAAAGGAGAAATGATAAAAAGAATGGAAGAAACACAAATGAAAAGGAATCAGAGAAGAAACATTTAAAATATTTATAGAGCCACGTTGATACATAAAGCAACAATCAATAATTACAAATAAAAAAATGTGCAAGGAACAAATGAGCAGTTATGCAAACATTACATATGATGCTCATCAAATGGACCTACTTTTCCTATGTTAAAAGAATCTCAGTTGTTTCTAACACTGGAATATGCAGTAAGAGCTAGCAGATTCATTCCAAGTGAAACTTTGATGTAGGCAGGATTGAACATGGGTCCCTTTGCATTCCAAGTGAAACTTTAGCAGATTCATTGGATCCTTCAAGACATTTTTTCCAATGATGCTCAAGTGAAGTATTTGTTCTTTTATCTGTTTGGAGAAAAGACAGATTACTAAAATGATTTTTCCCCAAGCAGCAAAGGATCAAAGATTGCCCACTTTCATGGCATAAATTAGCTTGTAGACAACAATTGTAACATGAGGTAGGAAAACCAAGCACAAACTATTATATACTACTGGGAAAAACTGCAAACTTCCCTACCTTTTATTCTGAAACCTCTTTTGTTTCTTTGCCACTATTATAACGATATCTCCAAATTCCCAGAGTCTTATAATCCCACACAATCCCAGATATCTCATCTTGAGGCAAACTTAGGCCTTCACGTTTTATAGCTCTATGCAAGTTGCAGAAGAATTTTGGGTCTTGTAGTCTAATATACTCATGCAAAAGCTGCTCATGGTCTGGTACCCAATTCCTAGAAAATGGAGTGTAATCACAAGATGGAATCAGAGACATGTGTGAGAACTGAACACGTTCAATTGCATCAACAAGTCCCATCCTTAAAAGGTCAGAGTATTCGGGTGCAGAATTGTTGCTGCTCTCCCTCAATGGACGACTAAGATCACGTGAAGCTATCTTATACACCTTGGCTCGAGATTTTAGCCTATACCTTGCAGCATACAGTTTAGCTAATGAACTACGAATCACATAAGCACAAAAGCCAACAACTTTCTTTCGATTGTCAGCATATCTGTACCAATCAGCCATGGTCTCAAGAAACTTATTCATCTGTGAATTTGTATGAGCTTGACTCGAGTAGAGCATTGGGGTACAAGGCAGAGGCTCGGGATCCTTGTCACCCTTGACAAACTGAAGCTGCCTGAACTTACGAATACATTGCTGTAAGCTAGCTGTAACCGAAAGCAAAGTCCCTACACCCTTTTGGCTCACAATATTGCCTCCACTAGCAGTGTAACGAAGGGTAGGGTGTATCACTCTCCTACAAATTATATGGTCCAAGAATTGAATTCCTCTACTAATATGTTCTATCTCCACTTTAGAATTATCCAACCGTATCCCAAATTCACTCTCACAAAACTCAATTATTTCCTTTCTAATTTGCACTGCATCCTCTCTGGGTCCTCGAATGCCAATCAAAAAATGGCCTCCATATCTTATGTAATCCATTTTCCTAGTTTTCTCTCTACCACTAGACGGAACAAACTCAGGCCAAGAAGGGTTATGACATCCATCATTAATTGTATCTTTCCATATGGAATCATGCTTAGATGGCCTAAAGAACTTAATTATCTTCTCTTCCATCACTTGGTCCAATTCATTAAGACACACATTAGCAAGTAAAGGACTTAAAATTCCACAATAACCATAAGAAGGTACCTTAGCAGCTTCCTCAGGAGAAAAATCAAAGAAAGTCCTCAACCAATAGGGGTCGGGTTTTGGCTCGTTCTCATTCAAAATCTTCTTCTTAGTAGCCGTTCTCTTTTTCTTTCTCTTGCTCTTCAAATCTCCACCTCCACCACCATCATCATCACTCTTTAATCTCTTCTTAACACGCACGTTAAGCCCGGATTTAATCAAATTCAAAACTTTCTTATCTTTTACAACCTTTTCGACAGAACCCAAGATTACATCTACATCCACATTATCAAATAACGCACTCAGGTCACCTTTTAAAAACCACAGATACCCAGCAAAGTTACTCCGAATAGTCCGGATAACGGTATGGGCACTCCTTCCAGGCCTAAAGGCATGAGATTTGCTAGAAAATCGGCGTTCAAAAATCGGTTCCAAGACCATCAAGAGAACCTCTTGAACAACCCGGTCTTGGAAACAGGCGTCAGGGGATTCAAGCATAGCTTGAAGTTTCCTCTTTGAGATTAAACTCGTTGACGGCTTGTCGTTTGGGCTACGAATAAGCTGATTGGTCTTGTTGTGCCACTTGAAACGGCGGCCGTGAACGACGGCATTTTGGAGGGATAGAAGGGAATGCAGGGTCTGGGAATGGATGGCATTGCGGGGAGGAAACGTGCCGGTCACGTGAGCGCAGGAGCGTTGGTAAGCTAATACCCAAAGGTCGAATTTCGAGAGGAAGCCAGTGAGGTTTGGGAAAGTGGCGGTGGGTGGTGAAGAGAAGGATTTGACCCAGATTGAAAGGCAGATGTCAATCGGGTCCTGTTTTAAAAGAGAATATGGGTCTGGATCAGATGTCGAGCTGTTAGCTGAGAGAATGGAAAGAGAAGAAGAAAAGCGACGAAAAGGGCTAAGGAATGATAAAGATTTGGTAATGGAAATGGAGGGAAGCTGTTTGATGTTTTTTCTCAGATACATTTTTTGAAGACGTAAGCTTCCTTGATCTCCTTTTTTTTTTCTTTTTTTCTTTTGTTGATCAAAGGCACCAAGGCTTTGGTATTTAATTTATTTTATAAACAAAATTCAAAAATAAATTAGTAATTCAATTTCTTTTTTCCTTTTTTTTTTTTTTTAAGCATAGTAACTCAATTTCCAAACGAGGACAAAATAATTAAAATTTTTATATTCGAAATCAAAATTTAATAAATGATAATAGAGCAACGTTATTTTTAATCTTTTTATTAAAAAAAAAAAAAAGTGGGGGAATCCTAAAAATGAATGCAATTGCTTAAGAAAATAAACAGAATAAACTTGCCATGGGCCAAGACACCCACTTAGGCCCAAAATTTGGTATATTTGGGTTGGGCTTTAATATTGCTTAATGTGTAATGTTTGCACTAAACTTTGGCAACAAGGGCCTATTTTTTCACTCACTAATCACTATTTATGAGTACAATGAATTTCAAAAAATTATTTAAATGAAAAATAGCTAAATGCTTTTTGCTTATTCACATAATAAATTACATACATGATAACATGACCATCTAATCACCATTAAGTAAAAAAAAAAAAAAAAAACTACAATACCCAAATGGAATGATGCCCCATTTAATTTTATAATATAAAAAAAAAATGTCAAATGTAATACTTGTATTAAATATTTTCAATATTGTGATATCCCGAACTTTTATTCCTTTTGCCATTATGTTTCAACATCTAACAATAATAAAGAAATTAATGATTTATATTAATGAGCCAAGCACAATTTGTCCAAAAATATCATCACATCTCCTATGATTATGATAGACACTTAACATAATCCTATGTGTATATGTATATTTTTTTTGATATATCATATTTATGTACTAAAAGAGTTTCCACTATGTGACTAGGATATAAAGGGTGAGTGTTGGTGTCAGCTCGATCTAAAGGTATTTTAGTAAATATAAAAAGAAATAATAGTTAAAAGTAAAGACATAAGTGTTTTTTTTCGTTTATATTTCAACGTGTAAGTCAATAAAAATCAAATAAAAAAAAAAATAAATAAATAAAAATGAGAGAAAGAGATGAATGGGATAAATTTGACTTTACGGTGTTTAAGTTTTCATATTTATAAATAAGTTGAGAAAAACAAAAAGAAATAATTGAGATATAATCGAGTTGAAGTGACACTGATCATATTATACTAACCTGATATGTTAAGTCTATACAAATGATTAAAATTTTTTTAATTATCTACTGAAAGCTTTGAAAAATTAAAAAAAAAATCACTATATTTTTTAACCATTATATACTTATAGTGAGTGAGATCAAAGATGCAATCCTATCATTGTTCTACTTATTAATTTTATCCATTATTTTCAAACACACATTCATATATATTACATTTCCCCATGGATGATTAGCTAAAGTGGTAAAAAAAAATTTTCTTTTGTTATTTTAGTTTAAATTATAATGAAAAATTAATGTTTTTATAAATTTATTAAATTTAACATAAATAAATTTATTTTAATCGATTAAAAAAATAGGTACATAATAAAATTAAAAAAAACCTTCGTCATTAAATTTAAAAAAAAAAAGTTATATTACATTTGATAAGACAGCTTTCGTAGCCTCTGGCTCCATCCAATTACCAAATGTTTATCAATCATCCAATCATTGTGAATTCATCGTCATTGTTAACTAAAGTTCGACAAAACTAAAACAAATTGTTTTATGCTTTTTATCACCAGCCTGGCCAGAAAGCTCACTTGCACAAGACTATCAATTTAACTTTATATGTTTTGTTCATTATGGTGGGTGTTAGTTTTGATGAATTAGCTTAGCTCCATAACAAACATGAAACTAATAAACAAATTAGTAAATTAAGATATAATTAGATTTTTTTATAAAAGAGGCTCTCATATATATATATATATATATATTGTAACATATTTGATAAATATATTTTTTAAAGGTGAATATATTAATCAATTGAATTAAAATTTAAATTCAATTAAAATATTAGTTTATTATATTAAATTTTTAATAAAATCAGACATGAAAGATTCATTCCCAAAATCCTTGCATTTTCGGGTATATATGACTTGCAGCATTAAAGTGTATATTAGTTTTATTATCTAATTAATTTGTCACTTGACATTAATTTGATAATCTAGTTAGGGTAGGCAACCACACCATGAATTTTGGGCATGTAGGGCAAAAACAAGTGATAGCCAGAAATTTAAGGTATATATGAAACATGGGAATAGGTGAAAATTTTTCATTGATAATTACCATTCCAGATTTTTATATGATCTGCATGCAGGCTCATTGAGCATATATAATAAATTGCGTAGGATATTGTCAAATCATGGCTGGCTTAAAATGGGTTTAGAGTTTCCCAGAGGCTGAAACTAAATTCTAGCGATTTACCTTTTAATATTTTGTAAGAATAACGAGATTAAGGTATTCAAATTTAGAATTTAAACTAATTGATTTATATAATTATTTGTAAAATATAATATTTAATAATTTTAAATATTTATTCATTCTGTCTCTTGTTTTTATTTATTTTTTGGAGATATCTTCAAATTATATATATATTGAACATTTAAAATTTTTACTTTTTTATATTTTATAATTATTTTTTATGATTTTTTTATTTTTTGATATTAAAAGTCAAAAACTTTAATTTTATAAAAAAATAAATTTAAATATATTAAAATCAAAATAAAAATTTTAAATTCTGTGAAAGCGAATACCATCCAAATAATTTAGGATGATTATATATATATATATATATATATATATATATAATTTTGCGGAGATGGCCTTGGCCATGGTGTCAATCCGAACAGGTCTCCATCTTTGAAAAGTCTCATTGTCACATTTAATGGCCAAGGCTGAGCAGGAACAATAATTTGATTCTATTTGAACCACATAAATTAGATAGCTATGGATTTACCGAACATATACCGGTACAGATTATTCTGATAGCTCTTTGCACTATAACCAGGAATGAAATGAAACCATGAAATTTTTTCTAAAACTGAAAAACAATACTGGATAATTTAATGCAAGTAGGATATCAAAATAAAATATTACAATTGGAATATTATTGTAAAATTTATACCTAAAGCACGCACTTCTGGAATATCCACGTAATCAAATAAGATCTAGACTCGAATTACAATGGACAATTGATGGTTTAAAATTTTATGTGAAAAATATGGTTAGCAATGTAAAGTGTACCTAAAATTAACATGATGTACTTGATATTATAAAATAAAATTCATTTGGTTTTAGTTAGGGCATATGAATTGTGTTATTGGCACGATAAAATTAACATTTGATCGCAGAAAAAAGTTCGAAGATTGGGCGAAACTCAACGTGATTAGAGTTTTTCTATCACAATTTCATGATGTTTGATACAACAATTGAGATCAAATTTAATAATATTGTGATCAAAAGCAGCTCCACTCCCAATATAATATCAAACGAATTTTAAACTCATTTATGATTGTTGGTTGACATTTTCTTCGGTTGGCATTTGCATAAGCTGTTATAATATTAGAATTGATTTTTAAAAGTTATGAATTTGAAAAAGTTTATATATGTAATACTTTTTAATTAAATAAATATAAAGATAAAAATTTCAAAAATAGATTAAAATTTTAAAAAATACCCATAATTTATTATATATATGGTTTAATTTTATTTACATTTACATTTAATATGGGTAATTAATGCTATGAAAGAATATATTTGTTGAGCTTTTTGCTTAAGTAAACAAATAATAATATTAATAATAATAATAAGCTTCATCGGTTAATTTTATGTGTGTATCTATTAATTCAAGTCGAAACGTGATGAGATGAGAATGAGATCGATATTTGATTCGTTTGATCAATCTCTTAAATTTTATTTAAATTTCCTTTCTATAAGTAATTATAATAAATTACGAAACTTATATATTAACTAAATTATTATCATAATTAATATGATAATTTACTTGACAAAACAATAAAGAGTTTGAATTTTGGCATCCTTTTGTTATGTAAAACTATTATTAATTATTTAAAAGGGTAGGACTAGGACATTAATTAAATAATAAATTTCAAGTCAACTTCTGGATAACTTACTTGATAGAAACAATGCAAGCAGCGTGTTAGCAAATTAAGCCTAGAGAAGATAAGCACTACGTGCCCTCGTCAGCTGAAAAATATTACCACAAATTTTAGGAGGGCCCATAAGCAAGCAGATCAGCCAATTAAACAATGGCAATTTCTTATATGGTGTTCAATCTTAGCACTTACTCCAAAAATGATCATTGATCGGCGACAATCTAATTTGACATTGTTATTTTTATTTTATGATAGGCCAATCGTGTTTTCATGTTTTATTTGAATCTAATTGTTTTCTCGAACGATTTTAAAGATACATACATTCATATTAGCTTATTGCAATCATGATTTTATTTTTAGAATACTTCTATAAAAAATAAATAAATTCTGATTGGGAATAAGAAAACTCTATCTCTTGTAAGTGAGTTTGAGTTAATATGTATTTGAGGAACGATAAATGAACATGGAGACCAATTAACAACACTAAAAAACTATACGTACGTAGCGGCTTTATGATAAGCAAGCATGGCCTGGCCTCTTATACGGCGGAAAGCAAGAGGGGCCCTCGTTGCTTTATGTAAAATTTTTAGACTTATTTTTATGCTTTGATAATGGTTAATGCTTCTCTTGTGGGTCTATAACCTCATTCTCGGTCGTGTTTTCATCGGAAATTAAGGCGGATTATTTAATACATGAGACATTTATGATCTGATTAGGTGTAGAAGAAAGGTCTGTCAAACGAGATTTTTTTATGACTACATAGGTTCGCAGAAAGTGCATGCAAATCAAATAATTTCAAGAGTATCCCATGACTCTTTTGCTTTTGGGTAGGAAATATATATATATATATATATATAATTTTTTAATTTCATAGGGTTAATATGGTAATACATTTTTTATTTTTTAATTAATTTTTTATTGAAAATTTATAAGAGGGTTAAAATGTAACACATTTTATTTTTTAATTAGTTTTTTATTGCAAAATTATCAAATATAATAAAATTTTTAATTTTACAAGTGAGATTAAAATAATAACATATTTTTTAATATATATTTTAAAAAATAATTTAAAAAATAATATATGTGTTACGATTTTAACTTTACTTATAAAATTAAAAATTTTACTGTCAATATATTAAATAATTTTTTTTTATTTAAATATACAGTAAAAGACATATGTTAAAAAATTACCTGATAGTTGATAATTCATCATATATATATAGAGTTTGGAATGAGTACCTATTTCCTGATATCACAACCTAAAACATTTTACATTGTCCAAAAATCATTTCGCGACGACGTATACATTATTGTAAGGTGTTACAAAAAATTATGATGAAAAAAATTATATGTACATTTTTATCAGAAGACGAAATTTTATTACCAAATCAAATCAAATAGACAGGATTTTCCAACTACTGATCGAAGGGAAAATGTTTCGAAATGTTTGGTAGCGTATTTTAAACCATGTAACATCCATGACACCCCTTTCCCCTGTGCCAAAGAAACTCAACATCTGGACAACAGCTCCTGATCTCTTGCATCCTTTGAACCCATCGTCCTTGTGAAAAACAAAATCTAATATCAATTTTTTAACTCATCAGTCTAACATTTTGTGAAAAGAATAACTTGGTTTAAACATGGAAATATCATGTATATATGTATATGAATATTTTTTTCAACAAGAACCCATCATGATCACCCATATTAAGGATCCGAATATATAAATATCATCCTTCACAAGTAATGAATTTTGCATGAAAATAAATGGTATTTTCATTAAATTTATCTACTCTACCATGGGAGATGTTTGAATGTTGACTGATACTATATCGCAGTTGAAGAAATTCCACGTCTTTGAACTTCAATATACGTGTAATCTTATTTTCAAACATTTAATTTTTTTTCGACGCAAATCAATCACTTTTATTTACACGTGAATCTGATTCACGTCTGCCTATTCACATTGTAACTAACATTTGCTTTGAAAATTAAAAAAAAAAAAAAACTAAAGTACCTGGATCTGATAATCTCAAATACGATATAATGATATGACACAAACATGATACAAAAAAAATAAAAATAACTAAGGTTTAAAATTTTAACAATAATTATATATAAGTTTAATAAAATAAAAATATATATTTCATGCTTTCGTATTAACATAAATTATGATACGTGATTTTCGCATAAAATATGATATGAATATATATATTTTATTATTTTATATAATATGAGTACATGAATCATCATGTTTATCTATACATACATTACCTTCAATTTGATTTTTTTTTTAACAATGAAGGTCGTATTTTGAGAAATAAAATTATAAATATTAAGATTTGAATATCAAAATTTATTGAATGACATTATAATTACATAAATCAATTGAATTATTTTAAAAATTTAGTTATCCTATAATAAATCTCCTTGTTAAAAAAAAAAAAAAGGAACACTGTTTTAACCCATGCAAAAGAGCTTGATGATTATAGAGAAGGCCTCTATTTCTAATTCTTATTGAAAGCCATCTTAATTATAAAAAACATAATAAAATTAAGGACTAAGATTTTAGATAAGCTTCTTAGAAATTACTTAGATATATACGGATAGTATAATAAGCAGATATAGGAGGAAATCCAGTCAATTCGATAGACATTTCCATTTTGTAAGCAGAAGTCAATAATTCTAATTAAACATACATTGATTCAATTAATTTCTTTCTTTGACAGATTCCCTTTTTTTTTTCTCATCCTTGATCAAGAATTTCCAGTCCTTGAGTTGTGCAGCCATGACTACGGCTGGATTTTCCTTAGTCAAAAGATATACAGTAACTGTCAAAGCTTAGGGTCTCCTAGGGGTGGCTTCCCACATATATTATAATAATAATTAATATATTACTTAAAGTATACATTCCGATCTTATAATCCTGTAATCAACTGCAAAAAACTCCAATCTATTTCTTTAATATTAAACCCATCATTCATAAAATAAAGATTAAAAACTCCGTTCATTATATCAAAAGATTAAAAAAGGCAAAGAAGATTAAAAAAAATTAAAAAAAAAGGCAAAGAAGAAAAAAAATGATAAGTAAAAACACTTTATCAAGCATCCGTTCATTAAGAATCTCAAACAGAAATGAAGGCCAGAAACAGTTGCACCAGCTATAATAATATTAATGTAATTAATGTAACCTCAAACCTTTTGTTATTGTTTTTTATACACTCTTTGCTACTTATTATCATCAGCTACTGTGATTGCACTGTCGTTTTGGCCCAGCAAACTGCTTATTGATCGAGCTTTAACCATCCCAAGCTTCACTCTCTTCTTGGTCGTCATCAGTGTTTTCTGATCCTCCTTTTCTTGATCATTCCCAGTTTCACTACTTTGACCAAGCAATTCTTGTTTTGTTTGCTTTGCTTGTTGAGGTGGGGAAGAGTAATTGGATATTGGTTGATCATGATCATCATTATTAGGCTGCTCCTCCTTCTTTGCTGCATTATTACTACTGGCTAAAGATCGGCTTCGAACACTGGTCATGCTTCTCAGCCTACCTTTACCCAAATGATGCTCACAAAGAGAGTAACCAACGAGGGTTTGTTGGCAACATCTCCATCCCCTTCCATTAACTCGACTGCACCGTGACCCTTCCATGAGTGCACCAGCTCGACCTCTCTTTTTTGCACTACTAGGATGATTATTATCAGCAGCACTGCTAGCACTGTCTTTGATCATCTCTTTCTCTTTTTGTTCATTATCGTTTTGCTGCTGCACAAATTCCATGTTCATCATAGTCTTCATCTTGTTGCTGTTGATCATCACCTTCTTATAATTATCTTTCTCCATTATCGTATCATCATCGTTCCCTCTTCTTTCGAAGCTCCCTCTTCTCTTCTTCAATGGAAATGCTTTCTCTCCCTCACCCCAGCTCCCAACAGCTTTATTTAATGCAATCAAAACAACAATAAAAAAAGTGCAACACCTTCAATGCCATATAAAACACTAAAGATTTTCATTTTTCCTTTTCTATGCAAACAATTTCTTACCTTGATGGGAAGAACTCGATTGTGAAAGAGACCCAGTTCCTAATTCTGCACCCAAAACACTTTTCTTCCTAGAAAACCAAGGAAACCCAGAAGATCCACAACCAAAAACATAAATTTTTACAGCCAGATGAAACAAGTGCAAAATAGAGCAAGATGCAAATAATATTGGTCGAGACGGCGACCAGCATCACATGCTAACATGCACCGCATGGACATATATTAGTTAACCAAAATTGAAGAAAAAAACAAAGGAAAAATAAGAGACTTACAATTAAGATTAGATTAGTTTAGAATATATTAGATGGGAAGGTATGGTGGCTAGCCAAAGCTGATATAAAAACAACTAACACAGTATTTCCACTTACAGTATTATTTTTATTTTATATTTAGACCCCCTTTTTTCTATTTTTCACCTTTTTACTACAAGATTTCATGAAATAACAGAAAGAACATTGGTTTTCAATTTTTACTTTTTAGCCTTTTCCTTTCTTACCTGGTATAATTACTCTTCTCCCCTTCTCTTCCTCTTTCCTTCTCTCCTGATCCTCCTTGCTTCAAAACCTACAAAAAGTAAAAAATACAAAGATCCCACTCAGCTGTTTTGTGTTTTTTTACCTAATGCAACTTTCACGGGTGCAAATTAATCAAAGTAAAAAGAATTTCAAACAAGATGCTTCTTTTTATTGCATTGAACACTGCTGCACTCTTATTAACAACCTTAAAACTATGGTAAAAATGACAAAAGAGTTGTATTCCTTTTTCGTTGGGATTACTCACTGAACTAACCAAGTAATCTTCTTTCGTCTTCAGCTCTTGTCCATGATGTGTTGTTGTTGTACCAGGGAAAGCTGATGAATCACGGCCTTGGGTCGGTAGTTGTTGTCCGATCGGGTGATTGAGATGATCAGAGGGGTGGGGATCAAAGCAAGGAGTGGGTAGAGGAGGCTGCTGCTGTAACGGGCGTTGCACCACCGGAGACCGGTTAAAGTTGGGATCTGATGAAAGAGGCACTGGTGAAATAGAAGAGAAAGGTAGCGAAACCTGTCTTTTCCTGATCCTCATCGATGCAAGATATGATATTTTTTCCTTTCACTTCCTCTTCAATATAAAAAAAAAAAAAAAGCTGAAGAAAACCAAACAAAAAACAAAGAAAAACCCAAAGAAAGAAATGATGTTTCAAAAGAAAAGTGGGTAAGATTTTGCTGTGAGACAAATAAAAGAGCAAAGAAAGTGCAAAACCCAAACACTACTGCAACAACAACACCGAGACCAAGAAATTTAGTATTTATTTTCTTAATAACAAACAAATAATAAAAAAAATAATAATTGTAATAAAATATCAAGTATTTTTGTCTCTCTAACTTTTATTCGTTGCAATACAGAAAGAAGAGAGGGGAATGCACGTGAGGGGCACGTGTACTGGGGAGGTTACCGGATGAGAAGGTAGGCGGTGGAGGAATCAGTAGAAGGTGATGTGGACAGGGTACGGAGGATGCCAGGGTGGAATTGGGTTGAGAATACAAAATGATGGGAGTGGGTAGTTTTATCGTTTATACTTTATAGATGAGATTGGTGGGTCCCTCTCCTTCTCCTCTCTAACACCAACGACTCAGATGATGACCCTTTTTAATTTTAAGTTTTAACTCAACTTTTATAGTCTTTTTTTCCTTCAAATTTTGATAATTCCCTTTTTTTTATTAATTTTAATTCTCATTTTATAATTTTTTCTTTATTTTCCTTAATCTAAGATAGATATAGGTTGGTGTTCAACACTTCAACTTGTAGTTATTTTAAAATTAGCCCTTCTTTTCTTAAGTTTAGAAAAATTATTTCATACATTTTAGATCTTATCAACAGTATATATTAAAAGATTACAATATTTTTAGAATATAAAATGAAAAAATTAATATAATTATAAAAAATATGCATGATATTTAAAAAAACGGTTTATAAAAATTTAAATTTTAAAATTTATTCACATAAACTATTATTATTATTGCTATTATTGTATACAATTTTAATTAAATTTTATAATTAGTATAGTTGGGTGTTTATCATAAATTAATTTAATTATGTAACTAACAAAATTAAGATAGATATTTGACCAAACAAACATGTAACAAAAGTATATATTTAAAAAAGAAAAGTACTTATAACTCACTTAGGAACTCGGTGAACTTCACCATTAATGTATAATTGGATGATATCCTTAAACTTTTTATACATTGACTATTGCAAAGTGGGTTGAGAAATAAAATTATAACTTATTTTCTTGTTTTATCTGTCCAAATTGGTCACATTCTCTATCTTTTAAGGTAAATAACCTATTAAGCCATTAGATTTAAAGGCCTATGATGAGTTTTATTCACTAGAAACAAACAAGTTTTTTTTTAAAAGATAGAGTATTGTGGCTATAATAATTTTAAATCCTTTATTGAAATAAATTATACTAAGGATATAAACTAATTGTCCAAAAAGATAAAGATAACACGAAACTTAAGAGTTAAGGTCTATTTGGAACCATTCATAATTGAGGGACTTATTTGACATCTTGATGAAAATTTAGCAACTTCCTACATTTTCAATTTACCCCTTTTTTAGTTCAATTTTCTTATTCCAATTTCTCTAAACCCAAACTTCTTGTAATATTATGCAACGTATATAAAATACAATTCAACCCTATAAACTTCATGTACTTTAGAATAAATTGAGTAATGACTCGTTGTTTTCGGCTTTTAATAGGATAGCTATGTGTTTTTTGGAAGATTCTGGGCAAAGAATACGACGTTTAAAAACAAGAATTGTCCTATAAAATAATAAGAATTAAGAGAAATTATTAAATATATTGACAGTTGGGTTTTTAAATTCCACAAGCAATATTCAAAAGATAACACATACATTTTATGATATATTTAAAAAAAAATTATTTGATACATCGTTAGTAAATTTTTTTTAACTTCATAAATGAGGTTTAATATGATGATACATATCCCACTTTTTTTTTTATTAAATTTTTATTTTTAAATATAGCTAAAGGGATATATATATGCTCGTGAAGTTAAAAAAGTACATTAATAGAATATTTGATAATTTTTTATTAAAAAAATAAAAAAAATAAATTAAAAATAAAAAAATAAAAAAATAAAAAAATTAATTAAAAATATAAATGAAACATGTGTTAATCTCTTAATATCATTTGTAAAATTAATAATTTCTAATAATAATATATCAAATACTAATTGAAGAATTAATCAAAAATAATAGATTATAAATCTATTAATGGGTTGGATTAGATTGGATCGCTAGTTGATGTTTTAAAAAGCTTGCTTAAGACTCGATTCGTTGGGCTTAATGATCCAAAAATTTTTAAATATTAAAATATTAAAATAAAATAAAATAAAACTTATTAATAAAATATAATTTTAAATCGAATTTAAATTTTTAAAACCATCCGTGAACAACTTTAATATGAGAGTATGATCAAAAGGATTTTTTTTTTTTTTTGTGAAATCACATTAATTAAGCAATAGCTAGCTAGTGCTCTTTCTTATTGGGAGTTTGCATTTGATAGCCAGCAATTTAATTTCTGATTTGTTGTAACAAACAATTGATAACATTATAGGATATACAAATCGAACATTATAGCACTCTTACTCCTAACTTTTTTTTTTTGCAATGTTAAAGTGTGAAAAAAACCAGCTATTTAATAATAAAATTACTGTTTAATTTCTTCCATACTATTTATGAATAGTAGGAAAATAATTGAAAATAAAGTGATTAATTTCTAACTTGAGACAAAGTATATAAACGCAAGTTCTAACATATCCATTATTTTTGGGCCAAAAAAAAAATCTCTAGCATATTTCGTATTTCCTGCATCGGCCCACTTAAAGCCATATATTGCTAAGCCCAACATATCCAATTCATCGCCACCGAGAAGTCAAACCTAGCTAGAATCTTAAGTCTAGGCTTTAACTCTTAACCGTACAACAATTTTTTTTTTAATATAATCATGGATAGTGCTTTTGAATTTTATTTGGATGATAATAACTACAGACAATGCATATTTAAAAATAAAAAATTTATGTATCTTATTTAAATAATTCAAATTACTGTATTTTTCGAACTCTTGATCATTTCTCAAGTAAAACACTACTCCATTAGAGTACAAATAAATTTCAATCAAGATGCATGCTTTAGATATCCAAAAATGTGTTTAATTAGTTGCTAATCTATGCTTTTAATTAAGTATGATTAAATTATCGTTTAGAACATGTTTAAAATAATTAAAACATTTAATTTTATATAAATTTATGCATATGTATTGGTAATGTGTACAAAATTGAATTAACCATTCAAAAGATAATAAATAAATACTTTAAACGAGTAATGAAACAAATGACTTTTAAATAATAATAAAATATTTAATATGGTATTTATATTTTAAAATTTTAAATATGATACATAAATTATAAATTTATTAATTAAAATGATATTCATTCTTAACGTGATTAATTTTAAATAATTATACACAAATAATCTCTAAATATCATATTAATTAATAAATTTATAATTTAAATTTATATTAAAATATTTTAAAATTTAAATATTATATTAAATATTTCATCGGCCATTCATAACATTATCCATTTCTTAAATAATCTTAGTAGTATAAGTTTGTTGGCGTTGTTACGAAGGAATTTGGACGTGCCTGTCATACTCGAGGACCCACAAGAACTGGAATTTTTAGGGAAGAATCTTCATCCTAAGAGTAGATTATATTGACAAGTTTAGACTGCCTAACACTGAAATTGTTCAGCTAATTATTAATTTACAGCCTTTTGAAAGTACAGAAAACTGATTCTTTTTTCTTCCCTACGTTATTAATTTGGACTAATTGATGCAGAAGATAAATTTGATTATTTTGTTTTAGAAATTGAAGCCTGATCAAGATTGAATATTGGGTGTCCAGTTTAATTAATTACTGACTATATATATATGTATATATAAATTTCATATTTGCTGAGAGCTTGGGTTGCGCCAATATTCATGGAAGTACCTGTTTTCTGAACTGGTTTGAAACAAGATTCCAACTAATATAAAGACATAATTAGCATATCAAAGGGATTGGCGGTCCACCATCTTTTTTTTTTTTCAAGCAATGAACATACATTTTGTTGCCAAATTCAACAAAAATGTCAAGTCAGGGGGTACATCTTTGCTTTTCATTCCAATTGAATGTCGCCTGTTAAATTACTAGCAGATAAACTGCAGCTGATTGATTAGATTGAAATTTGATTACCCTAACAAAGAAAGAAAGAATGTCTTAATTATTTGCACTTGTTCACAGCTTTGGTTCATTTGCAAGAAAATTTTACTCATCAGAACTGTAAACACTACCGTCTCATTTGGTGTATTTATATGATGAGATTATAACCACTTCAGCTTTTGATCTTGTGGATGAAATTGTTTCGGAATTCTAGAAATAGGAAAGAAGCGAAAAACCAGAAAATGGCTTCTCTTGCTCCATTTATGTGATCATGAAACTAATATGAATGAAGCTGTTCCTTTGTAATCTGATATATAGCCTTAATGTGGTCCAGTTTTCTACAAGGAGCCTATGTATCTTGCCCGCATTTACCATACAATCAGATATCTCAGGTCTTATTCATAGCAAAGCTCCAACTGATCACTTCTCATCTTCCAGCAGAGTTAATTAATTAGTCATGTCGGGTATCTCCTAATGTTAGATATAGCAAGCCGTCGTCTTCTCCCCTGGCCTGCCTTGTTTGAGCACCGAATTTTCTCAACTTCTGTTACTCTATCTCTTCCTATGTAGTTGCACCAAGCACTAACTCAGAACTTAATACTCTTTTTATTGAAATTGAAAGAAGCAAAGACAAGCATCAAATCTTGACTAATTAAAATCACCTGCAACACACTAATATTGCAAAACTTTGCAAGGTTGGAAGTTTTGCTCCTTAATTTCTCCTCATTATCTGGTTTACCATATCTTTAAGTCATGCTTTTCTCTTCCTTTCCCTTGAGAATAATTAATTGTTACCCTACCGGTCTGCTTTTACATTTAACCTAGAAGAAGAAAAGACTCATTCTAACCGCCATCGTATCTCCATATGGATAAAAATTTGCAGCTTTTAACTTATTTTTTAAAGCTAATTTTCATTCAGTTTCTATGATATTAATGTCATGAACCCATTTCTCCTCTTTTCTCAGTTTCAAATTAGTCTTTTATCTGCTTCTGATCTTTTGGCTAAAATCATATTCCCACAGCCAAGCTGTTTCCTTTGCTAAGAAATAGATAAAGGAGGGAGCTAGCTAGGCGCACTACTTCATTTGTATTCACATCCAACAAACTGGACCAGGAAAAGAAAAAGGAGGACATAGTTGCACCAAGGGCAAAGATGAATAATGGGTAGCACAGTATATGCAAAAAGAAAAACCAAAAAGAAATATATGGGGACCATCTTTAAGTGCTAATGTGCACCGCCTGAACATGGAGCCAAATTTCCAGTTAAATATGAAGAAGGGGAAATCCAAAAGAATGAATTCATATGCATAAATCTCTCCAATTGTT